AGAGATAAATTCTGATGTAGAAAATATTACATTTTTTTGACCTAAAAAGCAATAAAAATACTTATATAGTACAATCAGGATCTGTCATGTTCGCCTACCGAACAGATCCTTCGCCTAGCGAACAACAAATTAGGCACCTGAGGTGCCTCTAAATAGTTAAATTGCCCCTAAGATATTTCCAAATATTCGGTGGGCGAGAAATTCTTTGCCTAGCGAAGCCTTCGCTGTGAACTTCGCCTAGCGAGTTTATGGCCCTTTCGCCTCTGTCTCAAGTATGGGAGTGTTCATTGGCTACTCGCTACCTCTTCGCCTAGCGAGTTCTTCGTTGCCTCCTTCGCCTAGCGAGCTTTGTGAAGTTTTCTGGAAAGCTTCGCTAGGAGCTCGCACGACGAGTTTTATGATGTTTTTCTACTGTCTTGGTTTCCTTGCCCAATTTCTTGTGTCTTAGTATTCACTTGTTTTGTGCCTAATTTCTGCACAATAACGCACAAATCAAAGCAATCAATTCATATATCAACAGTGAAGCAAACCATCTAAAACTAGAGTGATTCTAATCACTTTTACCTACAAAAAGAGTGAAATATGTCAATATTTGATAGAGAAAATAAGCAAATTTTGGCATCTAACAGGTATAGAATCTAAGACACTTGGATTCAAATCATGTAAGATATGTGTTCTTTGTGATAGATGGAAAGTCTTCCTAGTATCATACCTTATGAGAGGATTGGATCGACTAAATAGAATAAGAGTTTATTCTAGAGTGATACTATATAAAAGGTTTTGTGGTATAAGAAGCAAAGGCGAAATGGGGATAGGATAAACACTAATGACTTTTATTGAAGATGAAAGGAATCGGGTGGCTAAATAACCATTTCGAAGGAGGTTTCTAAACATTAAAGTGGAAGGGCCATTAGTCAAAGTAATTTTAGGAACCTTTTGGTGTGGAAGGGATCATGATGAAATGGTCTGGATGTGGATCAAAATGTTGGGATGATTAGGTATTTCCCAGTATAGATGACACATTAGCCAATGAAGTGGATGGAGTTGAAGAAGTAGAGCCTATGGTGTCAGCACTACCATAAATGAGATCATGGTTATAAGAATCAAATGAAAACATTATTGCATGGAAGATTTTCTTTTGATAAAGGTAATTAAGTAAGAAATGAAGAGAAATTAGAAATCTCGTTTTTAGAGAAGCATGAAAACACAAGGCAGATAACACAAAGTGCGAAAGTAAAATGTCAACTAAATTTATTTATAAGGAGATTCAAGATAATTAAAAAGATTAATGGTTTGCTTTTAAGTCGAGACATACTTTATAATGACTATTTCTATTTTTACGACGTAATGGTGACTACTATTCACACGCATCAATGATAACCACATCTCGAAATAACGTTTCTTTTTTATAAAAAAAGTGTCACTAAATTTCTTGTAGTTTTCTTTAAAAATAATAATGTGCACAATAGAGTTAATGATATA